GGATGGGGTATGCGAGGGGAGGGAGGGCAGAGAGGGAGAGGGCGTGTGAGAGAGTGAGGGAGGAGGTGGTTGTGCGGGGGAAACAGGTGGGTGAGGACCGGAAGAAAGCCTTTCAAGGGCAGCAGCTGGATGGATTCTCTCTGACTCGTTGACTACTCCTGCTGCCTCGCAGACTGCTGCTGCCTCTCCAACGCCATCACCCTCCTCTTCTGCTGCTGGATTTCCCTCCTGACTCGACTCAATCAAGTGCGTTTCTCCCATCCCGCCACCCCCTTCAACTGCTGCTAGATTCTCCTCTTCGTTCCCTGCTGCTGCCTCTCGACTCCCTGCCCCCTCTTGGCTCCACTCAATCGCCGGCGTCTCTCCCATCCCGCCGCCCTCCTCACCCCGTCCTTCCACCTCCCCGCTTTCTCCCTCCCATTCCAGCATTGCTCCCCCCCCTCCCTCGCAAGTGCCCGCTGACTGGTGGGTATCGGGCGAAAGCAGAGGCAGGGAGAGGGGCGAGGACGGGCAGGGAGGGGGCGAGGGTAGAGGCGACATGAACGGTGTTGTATCCATGCTATCCCCACCCATGCCCTCCCCACCCATGCACTCCCCACCCATGCCCTCCCCACCCATGCCCTCCAAACCCATGCCCTCCCCACCCATGCCCTCCCCACCAATGCCATGCCCATACATGCCTTCTGTGATCATCCATTCTCCATCCACCCCTTCCCCATCCACCCCTGCGCCATCCACTCCCTCTACGTGTGGCCCTTCTCCCTCCATGGGTGCATTCTGGGACTGTGTAGCATCACAGGCTGCAGCTTTCGCTCCAGCAGCTGTAGCAGCAGTGTACTCGTTTGTAGCAGCAGCACCAGCAGCAGTAATGCAAGCGTGTTCGTCTAGAGCTTCAGTGTCCGGGGTGTGAAGGACAAGGGCTCGCATTTCTGTAGCATCATCAGCTGTAGCATCACCAGTCGCTGCACCACTAGCTGTAGCACCAGCATGTTCATCTGTAGCTTCAGTGTCCGTGGTGTGAAGGACAAGGGCTCGCATGTCTATAGCATCATCCGCAGCTGCACCATCAGCCTCTGTGGCTGTAGCACCAGCAGCTGTAGCGCCAGCATCTGTAGCGCCAGAATGGTCATCTGTAGCTCCAATGTCCGGGTTGTGAAGGACAAGGGCCCGCATGTCTGCATCATCATCCGCAGCTGCAGCATTTTCCTCTGTAGCTGAAGCTGTAGCAGCCGCAGGAACTGTAGCATCACCAGCTGTAGCGCCAGCATGTTCATCTGTAGCTTCAGTGTCCACAGCGCGAAGGGCAAGCACTTGCATGTCCGCATCATCATCACCAGATGTAGCATCAGCTGTAGCAGCAGCAGCCACAGCATCAGGTTTGGCTGCAGCAGTAGCAACAGCAGTAGTAGCGGCAGCAGTGGCAGTGGTGGCAACAGCGGCAGCAGCATCAGCAGCGTCCAATGCAGCAGCAGCACCTCCAGCAGCACTGCCAGCAGCAGCAGCGGGGGAAACAGTAGCAGCGGCAGCAGCAGTGGTGGCAGTAGCAGCGGCAGCAGCAGTGGTGGCAGTAGCAGCGGCAGCAGTGGCAGTAGCAGCAGCAGCACCGGTGGGAGCGGCAGCAGCAGTGGTGGCAGCAGTAGCAGCGGCAGCGGCAGCAGCAGCGGTGGGAGCAGCAGCAGCAGCAGGGGCGGCCGTGGCAGCCGCAAGGGGAGGACGAGGAGGGGGAGGTACAGGATAGGGAAGGGAGGTGGGATAGGGCGAGAAGGGCGTGGTGAAGAGGTATGGGGGAAAGGGATGTGTGGAGGACGGAGGACCTTGGTGGGAGGGGGGAGGAGGAGGGTGATGAGACGGGGGGTGAGATGGGCGAGAAGAGGGGTGAGATGGGGCGTGAGAGGGGAGGGGAGGAGGAGAGGGGAAAGGAGGAGGAGGCCACAGGTGCGGATACAACACCCACGGAGGGGGTGGCATGGGCGGTGCATGAGATGGCAGGGGTGGTGCATGGGATGGTGCATGGGATGGCAGGGAGTAAGTACTGCAGGCACCGGGCCCTTGCATTCTGTTTGCCATCCACTGCTGCTGCTGCAAGGACTGGGTTGAGGAGGCATGGGGCATAGAATGGGATGGGAAGGGAATGCCAAACGCCCTTGCTGCCATTTCGTATAGCTCCAGAGCTCTCCTCTCGAGCTCACTCTCTCTCTCCTTCTCCCTCTCTTTCTCCCTTGCCTTTTCTCTCTCCTTCTCGTTCTCCTTCTCACTCTCTTTCTCCTTCTCCCGCTCTTTCCTCCGTCTCTCTTCCGTCTCACTCTCTCTCCCCTTCTCACTTCCACTCTCTCTCTCTCTTCCACTCTCTCTCTCCTCCACGCCTGTCTTCCCCACTGCCTCATCCCCTTCCTCTCCCTCCACCCCTCCGTCGCCTCTCTCCCCCTCTACATCCTCCACCCTATCCCCCTCCCCCTCTCCTACCGTCCCTCTCTCCCCTTCCACCTCCCTCACACCCTCTCCTTCTCCCCCCTCCGCCATCCCACCCTCCCCTCCCTCCGCTGCTCCAGCCACACTCTCTCGGGGGCCAACCCCCTCCTCCACTCTCGGCGCAAAGCCCTCCTCTCCCTCGTTCTCTGCCTCGGCTCGCTGCTTGCGGGGTCGGCCTGTTGCAGATTCGGGTCCCTTGGGACGCTTGCTGTGCGCTGGTGGCACTGTGGTCTTTTGAGTTGACCGCCTGGCCTGCGTTGACTTTGCTGGCTGCGTTGGCTTTGCTGGCTGCGATGGCTGCGTAGGCTGCTTAGTCGGCCAGAGGTAAGGCACAGTGGCGGCGACGAGCTCCTCCATAGAGGGAATGATGAGATCATCTACGCTGGAGGGTGGAGGGAGGGGGAGGGGGAGGGGGAGGGGGGGGGGGATGGGGGAGGGGGGAATGAAGAAACCCAGTCGGGGATATTGAGGCGCCTCTAGATGCAGGTAAGGCGCAGTGGCGGCCAGGAGCTCCTACGTGGAGGGAATGTTGACATCGTGCCCACTGGGGAGTGGAGGCAGGCAGGGAGGAAGGGCAAGCATGGTGGGAGACTGGGAGACATAAACTGGGAAGTCTCTAGATGCAGGTACGGCCCAGTGGCGGCCTCGAGCTCTTCCATGGCGGGGATGATGAGATCCTGCACACTTGACTTGAGGCGGAGGCGGTACGAAGGAGGAGCAGGGTGAGGAGGAGTTGGGGAGAGGGGGGGGGAGGGGAGGAGCTGTAGGGGGTGGGGGGGGGAGGGGGTTATGAGAGGGAGCAATAACTCACCAAGTGACCACCTGCGTATTCACCTGAGGATTCACCTGAGAATTCGCCTGAAAGCTCACCTGATGTCTCGATCCGCCAGCCGTGCTTCATCCACCGCCTCACATGCCTCCAACGCACTGCGGAGCTCCTGAGCAGAGGGGAGGGGAGAAAGGGCCGCTTGAGAAGGGGGGAGAAAGGCAGCGAGTGGTAGGAAGGTAAATGGAGGAGCAAGAGGAACGGAAGAAAGAGTGTGGAAGAGGGATGGAGAGGCGTGAGTGGATAGACGGTGGGGAAAGAGGGGAGGTGCGTTGGTTGGGTGGGGGGCGGGGAAGGGCGCGAGACGGGGGGGGGAAGGAGGATGGGGTTGCGGCGGTAGGGGAGAAGAGACGGGGCCAGCAGCAAGGAGGAGGGAAATGCAAGCCATTGGGAGCAACGTTTGAAGAGTGCAAGAGGCGAGGCAGCAGGAGGGGAGGCATCGGGAGGGGAAGCATCGGGAGGGGAAGCATCGGGAGGGGAAGCATCGGGAGGGGAAGCATCGGGAGGGGAAGCATCGGGAGGGGAAGCATCGGGAGGGGAAGCATCGGGAGGGGAAGCATCGGGAGGGGAAGCATCAGGAGGGGAAGCATGGGGAGGGGAAGCAGCATTAACGAAATAGCAGGAGGAGAGGCAGAGGGGACGCGCCCACTGCCCAGGCAGTGATCGGCTCTTGAGAAGTCTCATCTCAAATACCTATCACAGACTCGATGTTCGCGCCCTTTCGTTTCTCCATCTCTCTCCATCTCTCTCCATCTCTCTCCATCTCTCTCCATCATCAGTCTGCTCTATCCCTCTTGAGGGCTCTTGAGGGCTCTTGAGGGGCCTCTAATTGGATTCCCCCTCTCCCTACCTCCCTACCTTCACTAGCTCTTGGCACTGCTGCTCAAAGCCCGCCACGTGGACGGCCTTGTAGGCGACACGTGGCAGGATGATGGCGGCGGCCGGCGCGCCGACCACCGCCAAATCGGCGCGCTGCAGCTGCTCCGCGCGCAAGCCGCCGCCGCCGCCGCTACCGCCGCAAAGGCCGCCTGCCTCTCCTCCGCCAAGCCCGTCGGAATCTGCGCCGCCATCCCCGGCAGCGCCGGCAGCACCGGCAGCACCACCGGTATGATGGCCCCCCGCAGCTCCCCTGCCAAGCCCGTCGGAAGCTGCGCCGCCATCCCCCGCAGCGCCGTCAGAACCATTACTGGCAGCGCTGGCACCGCTCTGTCGACTCATCCGTTATTGGCAAATGAGAATCGCAGCCTTTCCGCCCGCAATCGTGTTGTGTGACATTGTAACGAGGTGACTTTTGAGTCGACTCAAAAGTCACCTCGCAACCTTTCCGCCCACAATCAAGTTTTGAGGCGCCTCAAAACTAGACTCCTATCACGCGGATTTCCGCCCGCAATCAAATCTTGCGCCGCTTGCTGGTTTAGCCCAGTGCATTCGGTCGGAGGACCGTCCTCTTCTCTGTACCACTACTCTCGAAGTACATACTTTCAGCTATTCGCCCCTTACTCCACTCTCTAAACGGCCATCTTGAGAACCTCTCCGAACCGAAGTCTAGGGCTTGAGCAGCAAGCTTCGCTTCGCGACGCTCGTTACGCGCAGCGACACCCAGAAATGTACAGCTGCTACACTCGCTCATAAAACTCTATACCATAGCCTAGACTTGGCATAACATAACTCTGCATTGGCTATGGCAACTTTCTTGGAACTCTTATAAGCACAAAAATACAGGGAAATGGAATGTATAGTAACGCTTTCAAGGCACATGAGAAGCATGCAATAAGAGTTCTCATGTTTTGCTAACACACCATCCTAGAACCATCCACGGCCAGGGATGCACAATGAAGCCCTTGGCTCTCAAGCCAGCCAGCAGCTGTGTTGTGTCGTCTCCTCTCTTGTATGGTTGAACGGAAACCAGCCAATGCCCTCCTCTATCATAACTTATGAAAACAGAGGCCACCTAGGGCCAGGGATGCACAAAGAAGCCCCTGGCTCTCAAGTCAACCAGCAGCTGAGTCGTCTCCTGTCTCGTGTGGTTGAACGGCCACAAGCCAAAGCCCTCCTTGAGCCATAACTTGGTACCATATGACCACATGCTGCCAGTAGAGCCATCTAAGGCCAGGGATGCACGAAGAAGCCCTTGGCTCTCATGTCCACGAGCAGCTGAGTCGCCTCCTGTCTGGTGTGGTTGAATGGCCGCCAGCCAAAGCCCAGCACAGAGGCGTGCGAGTAGTGCACCTCCACAAATATCTCGTCCACTATGGATGGCATTTCTGGGTCCTGCATCCATGCTGCATGTTTTGCAGAAGGGGCGTGGGGGGGGGGAGGGGGGAGGGGAGAGGGAGGGGAGAGGGAGGGGAGAGGGAGGGGAGAGGGAAGGATACGGACGATGAGCAGAGTGAGGCATGTGAGGAGTGCAGCTCTAACAACATCCCATCCACTTACGCTGGCATCTCTGGTTCTTGCATCCACCCTGGGAGGGTCAGGCGGGTGGTATATGGAAAATGCTTTTGAGCAACATGAAAGCTAAGCACAGAAGCATGATATGGGAGTACTGGACTTTGCCACCATATGCTAGTCCCGTGTGGAGTATGAGCACGCGTGTTGGGTCGAGAGTAGTGCTCGTGATCTATGAAGCAAGCAAAGGTAGCAAAGCTAGCAGTGAGACTCACATGGGAGCACGTCCCACTCCTTGCCCTCAATATCCATATTCACCACCACAGTGTCCTCCGCTGTTAACCAGACCCCATGCCCTACAAAGCAAGTACTGCTATTACCGCTAGTAACGCTAGTACTGCTAGTACTGCTAGTACCGCTAGTAACGCTAGTACTGCTAGTACTGCTAATAACGCTAATAACGCTAGTACTGCTAGTTCTGCTAGTACTGCTAATAACGCTAATAACGCTAGTACTGCTAGTACTGCTAGTACCGCTAGTAACGCTAGTAATGCTAGTACTGCTAGTACCGCTAATAACGCTAGTACTACTAGTACTGCTAGTACCGCTAATAACGCTAGTACTGCTAGTACTGCTAGTACCGCTAGTAACGCTAGTAATGCTAGTACTGCTAGTACCGCTAATAACGCTAGTACTGCTAGTACTGCTAGTACCGTTAATAACGCTAGTACTGCTAGTACTGCTAGTACCGCTAGTAACGCTAGCACCAAGACTCACATGGAAGCACGTCCCACTTCTTGCCCTCGGTGTCGATCTTCACCACCAGTGTCCTCTGCTGCTAACCAGACCCCATGCTATTTAAAGCAAGTAAAACTAGTAGGTTACGAAGGGAACTCACACGGGAGCACGTCCCACTCCTTGCCCTCGATGTCCGTCTTCACCACCACAGTGTCCTCTGCTGTAAACCGAACCCATACTCCATGGCGCTAGTCAATTCAAGCCAGTGCTGAAACTAAGAGCCAGCACAAACACTCACAGGGGAGCACGTCCCACTCCTTGCCCTCGATGTCCATCTTCACCACCACAGTGTCCTCTGCTGTGAGTCGCAGCACATCCTTTATAAACCGAGTGATGTTGACGTGCTTCTGCACGCGTGGGTGCAGGGGGAGGGCCGGCAACAAACACGCATGGGGGTAAGAATCGGGATGGTCAAAGAATCGCATGTGCCCGTACCACCAGAGAGCCCTCTGCTGTGAGTCTGAGCACGTCCTTTATAAACCGAGTGATGTTGACGTGCTTCTGCACGTGTGGGGGCAGGATATGGGCGGGCAAACACACACGCGCGTGCACGCAAGCACGAATAGAAACGGTAAAAAAGGTGCATGAGCCCACAGCAAGATAGGAGTATAGTTTTGAGGCGCCTCAAAACTAGACTCCTATTTGAGGCGCCTCAAAACTAGAGCCCACAGCACCAGAGTGTCCTCTGCTGTGAGTCGCAGCACGCCCGTGATGAAGCGAGAGATATTGACGTGCTTCTGCGGGCATGAGGGCAGGGCATGGGTGGAAGGACGCACGCAAGTGCGAGTAGGGAAGGTCAGAAAGGTGCATGAGCCCACAGCACCAGAGTGACCTCTGACTGCTGTGGTGATGTGCTTCTGCAGTCAGAGGGGCAGGGCATGGGTGGCACACATGGGTGGGTGTAATGAGTCGATTTTTTAGTCGACTCAAAATCGACTCATTACACATGGTGGCACACATGGGTGTAAGGATGTTGCATTCAGCGCAAACATGTCTGCTGCTGTGAGTTTAAACACGTCCTTGATGAACCGAGTGATGTCGGCATGCTTCTGCACTCGGAGGGTCAGGGCATGGGTGGCACACATGGGTGCAAGGATGCTTTCTCACACGGTAGTCGTGTAATCCTCATAGTCCGTGTACACATGAATCCTGTCCGCCTCTAACTGACATTCTCTATAAGCTGACAATATACTCGTTATACTGACACACAGTAAGATCAAGTCACACTCACATGGTAGTCCGTGTTGTCCACAAAGTCAGTGTACACGTGTATCCTCTCCGCCATCCAGTTGGGAACCGGGGGAGGCTCATCCCCCTGCCAGAACACCGATACTTTCTCCAGTCTCTTCTTGGGCTTGATTTGGGAGTATTGGGCCTGAGGGTTGTTGAAAAGGGGGGGAGGAGGGAGGGGAGGAGAGGAGAGGGGAGGAGAGGAGAGGGGAGGGAAATAAGGGAGGCTCGACCCCACCCCCTGCCAGAACACGGATACTTTCTCCAGCCTCTTCTTGGGCTTTATTTGGGAGTTCTGGGCCTGAGAAATGGAGATTGGGGATAAACGGAGGGGCAGAGAGCAGAGAAAGAGAGCGATTGAGGGCGGCTCGGAACCCTGGCATAACACTGACACCTTTTCAGCCTCTTCCTGGGCTCTGTCTGGGAGTATTGGGGCTGGGGGTGTTGGAATGGGAAAAGAGGAGGAGGAGAGGGGAAGAGAATACGGGAGGCTCAGCCCCGTGCTGGAGCACTGGCAACCTTTCCAACTCGGGGTGCCTTGGGGGTTATCACTCAGGGCATGCGGCCTGAGGGGTTGCTGGCATGCCGAGGGCAGCGGGGAAAGAGGAAACAAGACAAGGAGGAAGCTGCAGGGTATTTTTAAGAATTCTCAAAAATACCCTGCGAATGCGGAGGGCGGCGGGGGAAGAGGAAACAAGACAAGGAGGAAGCTAGTCCCCTGCCACATCTCACACACCTCCTCCGGCCTCTTCTTGGGTGTCATCTCAGGTTGGCTGCCTTCCAACCGCATCCGACCCCCATTCACCGCACCCCACGCCTCTCACCTCGTCGTCGTTCCTGTCTGTGCGGCAGCAGGAGTAACCCTTTCTAACACATGCAGCTCCGTGAATTGAGAAGGTGTGCTTCAATCCGCACTCTCCCCCCCCCCCCCCCATCGCACCCACCTCATCGTCGTGCGTTTGCCACTGTGGCAGCACAAATAGCCCCTTGTTCACTTCGAACACATGCACCTCCGTGAAATCCAGGGGGCAGTGATGCACTCGCACTCCCCAGGGGATAGTGGCACCCTGCCACCCTTGTGCCTCTCACCTCGTCATTGTGCTCTTGTCTGGTCGGCACGAGGAACAGCCCCTTGTACACCTCAAACACGTGCACCTCCGTGAAATCCAGGGGGTAGTGCTGCTGTCCGCCTACTGCGCCCTACTCCCCCAATCCACCCAACCCCTACGCCTCTCACCTCATCGTCCTGCTCTTGTCTGGGCGGCACGAGGAACAGCCCCTTCTTCACTTCCAACACGACACGTGCACCTCAGAAAACCCCAGAGAGTGGTGCCACACTGCCACCCTCGTGCCTCTCACCTCGTCATCCTGCTCTTGTCTGGGCGGCACGAGGAACAGCCCCTTCTTCACTTCAAACACATGCACCTCCGTGAAATCCAGCGGGTAGTGCCGCAGCATCCACAGCACGCTCGAGTTGAACTCCTTGCCGCCCAAGTCGAGGTATACCCTCCGCCGCCTAAAGAGGAGCATGGGCATAACAGGCATGGCCAAGGGACGGTGTGAAAGAGAGAAGCGGGTAGTGCCGCAGCATCCACAGCACGCCACAGCTGAACTCCTTGCCGCCCAGATCCCGATAGACTCGGCGCCATCTGAGAGGGGGGGGGAAGATATGGTGGGGAATGGGGCACGGTGGATGGGGGAGGGAGAGAGGGAACGAGGAGGGCAGATGTGGGGGAGGTTGTGCCTCAGCAATCACAGCACACTCTAGTTGAACTCCTTTCCCCCAACATCCAGATACTCGTTGCGCTGCTTGAAGGGGAGAATAGGAGATGGTGGGGATGGGGCATGGGATGAGATCGAGAGAAGGGAGGGGGGGGGGGGGGGGGGGGGGGGCAGAGCATATCCTCAAACACTCTAGAAAACCATTGTATGGCTGCAGAGCATCTCCTCAAACACTCTAGAAAACCATTGTATGGCTGCAGAGCATCTCCTCAAACACTCTAGAAAACCATTGTATGGCTGCAGAGCATCTCCTCAAACACTCTAGAAAACCATTGTATGGCTGCAGAGCATATCCTCAAACACTCTAGAAAACCATTGTATGGCTGCAGAGCATATCCTCAAACACTCTAGAAAACCATTGTATGGCTGCAGAGCATCTCCTCAAACACTCTAGAAAACCATTGTATGGCTGCAGAGCATATCCTCAAACACTCTAGAAAACCATTGTATGGCTGCAGAGCATCTCCTCAAACACTCTAGAAAACCATTGTATGGCTGCAGAGCATCTCCTCAAACACTCTAGAAAACCATTGTATGGCTGCAGAGCATATCCTCAAACACTCTAGAAAACCATTGTATGGCTGCAGAGCATATCCTCAAACACTCTAGAAAACCATTGTATGGCTGCAGAGCATATCCTCAAACACTCTAGAAAACCATTGTATGGCTGCAGAGCATCTCCTCAAACACTCTAGAAAACCATTGTATGGCTGCAGAGCATATCCTCAAACACTCTAGAAAACCATTGTATGGCTGCAGAGCATATCCTCAAACACTCTAGAAAACCATTGTATGGCTGCAGAGCATATCCTCAAACACTCTAGAAAACCATTGTATGGCTGCAGAGCATCTCCTCAAACACTCTAGAAAACCATTGTATGGCCGCAGAGCATATCCCTATGACTCGGTGTGTGTCCTTACGCCTCACCTTCTCCCCATGGCCGGATCTTGCAGAGCCCCCAAGTGTGGAAGAATATTTAGTCGATCCTCTGCGTCCCCTGCGTGTTTCAGAGCATACTGTCTAATACCCTCTAATACCCTCTAATACCCTCTAATACCCTCTAATACCCTCTAATACCCTCTAATACGCTCTAATACCCCCTAATACCCCCTAATACCCCCTAATACCCTCTAATACCCTCTAATACCCTCTAATACCCTCTAATACCCTCTAATACCCTCTAATACCCTCTAATACCCTCTAATACCCTCTAATACCCTCTAATACCCTCTAATACCCTCTAATACCCTCTAATACCCTCTAATACCCTCTAATTCCCTCTAATACGCTCTAATACCCCCTAATACCCCCTAATACCCCCTAATACCCTCTAATACCCTCTAATACCCTCTAGTACCCTCTAATACCCTCTAATACCCTCTAATACCCTCTAATACCCTCTAATACCCTCTAATACCCTCTAATACCCTCTAATACCCTCTAATACCCTCTAATACCCTCTAATACCTTCTAATACCCTCTAATAACCTCTAATACCCTCTAATACCCTCTAATACCCTCTAATACCCTCTAATACCCTCTAATACCCTCGTATGGCCACTCCATCGTTCACCTCCTCCCCATGGCAGGGTCTTGCAGAGCCCTCAAGTACGCTAGTATGTGCAGCCGATCCTCTGCGTCCCCCACGTGCTTCAGAGCGAACCCACGCATGTGGCACACCTTTACTTAGCACGTCCCTTTCCCCTGGTTTTCTCACCGTCGCCCCATGGCCGGGTCTTGCAGAGCTCTGAAGTACGGCAGAATGTGCAGCCGGTCCTCCGCGTCCCCCACGTGCTTCAGAGCGTAGCCCCGCCGGAAGTTGAGGTGCGGCTCCAGCTGCTCCATCTGCAGCCCTGCTACCGTGCAGGGCGATGGGGGGGGGATGGCCTGGTGGGAAGGGGGCATGGGGGGACACGCAGGTGGGGTTAGGCGAGGGAAGTTGAGGTGCGGCTCCCGCTGCTCTATCTGCAGCCCCGCCACTGTGCAAAGGGCTGGCGGGGGTATGGGTGGGTGAGAATAGAGACGGGGAGAGGGGAGAGCGATGGAGGGGAGAGAGATGGAGGGGAGGGAGATGGAGGGCCCAGGGGTCCCTCCGCGCCTCTCACCGGCTCCCTTAGCGACGCAAATAGAGAGCACTTCTCAGAAACCACAAGGCGATGCCTCTCACCTTCACGAGAGCCCAGGGTTCCGTGCGCCCCTTCACCACCTCCCTTAACGAGTCGGGGAAGCGCCACTCACCCATGAGACGAGATAACCCAAGGGGCCCCTCCCCGCACTCGCAAGCTACCTCCTGAAGCGAACACGGATATCTTTATCGCCTTCATAGTAGCCCTCTCACCTTGATAAGAGCCCAGGGGACCGTGCGTCCCTCCACCGCCTCCCTTAGCGAGTCGGGGAAGCGCCACTCACCCATGAGACGAGATGACCCAAGGGCCCCCTCCCCCGACTTGCATGCTACTTCAAGGCAGTGCCTCTCACCTTCATGAGAGCCCACGGGTCCGTGCGCCCCTCCACCGCCTCCCGTAACAACGCGAATAGACAGCACTTCTTAGAAGTCACAAGGCAATCCTTCTCACCTTCATAAGAGCCCAGGGGTCCGTGCGTCCCTCCACCGCCTCCCGCAGCGAGTCGGGGAAGCGCTGGCGGCGCCAGCAAGCAGCTTCGGAGGGCGCGTGGGAGGGCCGGTGGGGGTAGAGGGGTGAGTTGAGAAGCGGCGTGGAGGCTGGAGGGGGGATTGGGAAGAAGCGGGTAGTGAAGAGAACAGGATTACTTAGGCGCATCGAAAAGGGCCGGGGGGGGTAAAGTGGGGAGTTGAGAAGCGGGGACGATGCTGGTGGGGGAAATGGGAGGGGGAGAAGGGGAGGGGAGGGGAGAGTGACGAAGATGAAACGGCTGAAACGGAGACCCTGATCGACGATGGCTTTGACACGTCGGATATGGCCAAAAACGTTCTGCAGAGCAGCAACGCCTTGCATAGCAGTACCTTGCACGTTTGATCCGTTGCTAAGGGCACTGCTTGTATCGGGGTCTCTCGTTTGAAGCAGCAGAATAAAATTAAGCAGCGTGGAGATGACGGCCCACGCTACTATCAACACCCTTCTGCTCTTATGTGGTCTCGGGGGGTCCTGAGCCGCCATAGTGGTTCGCGCTGCTGTGCTGCCTACCGTGCTGTTTTTACAGTTGATCTAAAACGGTCGACTTATGAGGCATCGCTCGCGACGGCTGGATCAAACATGGAAAACTGCGTCTACCTTTTCGCCTAGAAGTTTTAGCGGGAGATAATGCCTTCTATAAGAATCCATCACGATGCATGGCTCCGCCAGATCCGCCTGCTGTGCTTTCAGAACCGTGCTGCCGCCATCACCCGATTTACCATGCCATCGAACATCAGCGAAGTTAGCTAAGCCTTTGATAGAACTAGTTCGGAGGCAACCCAGAAATTGTCGGAGATGTACTGGGACGCACTGAATTCCACAAAAAGCTTCGTGAACCTTTTCCAACCGAACTTAAACGTTCCATACCTTCACATTTTATGAACCGAGCAAGCTGGTTTTGAATGACGAACCAGGTGCCTGGCCAGCGACATATTCGTCCGAACCCCCAGCGACGCGTCGAGCCAAAACCGGAGCTGGAAACTTGGTCTGGGTAAGCGGGCACGGGAAATTAGTCACATTGCTATTGGTTCGTCAGAACACACGAACCAAAGTGCTATTCGAGGCTGCTAGACGAGCCAGTCCGCATCGCCCATGTCGCAACAGCATCGCTTCCACGCAAGGCGAGCTTTCAAGGTTTCGCTAAAAGCGCCGATGGTTACATTTTTAAGAGCAGAGTCTTATTCACCGTAGGATTTAGGCTAGATTCCACCATGATCTCTTCTCTAGGTAGATCCTTTCACTTCGGGCTTCCCATCTCATCCCTAGTCCTGCGTTCCAGAATCTAGGTTCCTGGTTCAATCACAGCAGCTAGCAGGTAGTTCAGTCCATGCTTCTAGTTCAAACCATCATACCATGGCTAGTTTTGCTTCGTATGATAGGAGACGTGCCAACAGACAGACTTTTCGTCTACATCCCTCCCCGCATTCAGGAATCTTCTAGTCGTCGCCATAACAATCGGCCGCCAGTATAGGAGTCCTAACTGTCGCCAGTATCAGCCAGGCCGGGCGGCTTTTTTATGTTTTAACCAACAGATTCGATGGTAAGTAGGACCTCACAACCCACCTGTATTCCACCTCCGCAGCCTTCGTCGCATACGACGCCAGTATGAGCCAATCGGCGACGTCGTCTTGTTGTTAACCACCAGGTTTCCACGTCCCACATGAATTCCGGCTCGGCGCAGCAACGGCGGCAGTATGAGCCAATCCGCGACGTCGACTTGCTATGCTAACCAGCAGGTTTTCTCCAGGGTTGGTGGATTCTGACAAATCCACAGCCCACCTGAATTCCGGCTCGGCGCAGCAACGGCGGCAGTATGAGCCAAGCCACGACGTCATCGCTGCGACAGGCCGGGATCTCAGTGCCCAAGCAAATGGCGTTCTCGTCAGTCTTCATGAACGAGGTGTTCCTCCTTAGCCCGTCGCTCTCCACCTCCATTCGAGACCGATTAAACCGAGTCATCATGGCGGGAAGCGGCAGGGTCATCGGCGACGCGTCGCGGCACAACGCCCCAATCATCGTGAAGGCCCACGGCGACACGGACGACTCGCAATCACCGTCGCATCCGTCGCATGCCCCCCATCGCATCGTCTCGTCGCACTGGGTGTTCAAGTCCCATCAGGCCAATCGCCTCATCGACCCTTCCGCCCACCTCGTTCTCCGCCCCCTCCCCTGCGCCATCCCCCTCCCCGGATTCGCCCCCCTCCGCATCTGCGTCTCGCAATACAGCGGCGCGCGCCGCGATTACATCCTCTGCCTCTGCGGCGCGCTCGGCGCGCTCCGCACGGAGAAGCTGGACCGTCGGATCACGCATCTCGTGTGCTCGTGGGCCCACGGCGATAAGTACGAGCTGGCGACGCGGTGGGGTGACGTGGCGGTGGTTACTGAGGAGTGGCTGCACGCGTGCGTGAGAGCCAATGGGATCGTGCCACCTGGACCGTATCATCCCCCCCCGCTGAGCCAGAGCCAGCTGGAGTCGGGACGGTTCCCCGTCACTCAGGCGGGCGCGCAAGCCACGCGGAGGGGAGAGGCCGGGGGGAGAGGGGAGGTTGCGGGGAGGGGGGAAGCCGCCGAAAGAGGAGAGGCCATGGGGGGAGGAGAGGCTGCGGGGAAGAGAGAAGCGGAGGGGAGAGGAGCGGATCAGGGGAGGGGAGAAGCTAAGGGGAAGCGGAAGGCTGAGGGGAAGGTTTTGGGAAAGTTGGAGTTTTCGAGGCGAGGGGATGTCATGGGGAATGGGGGGGTTTCAACAGGTGGGGGGGTTTCAACAGGTGGGGGGGTTTCAACAGGTGGGGAGGTTGCAGGGGGAGGGGAGGCGTTGAAGGAAAGAGATGCTGTGAAGGAAGCTGCGACAGGGGCGCAGGAAAGCGGCGGCTGGGAGGAGGCGGATCGAAATGGGTGGTTGGGGGATACGGGGGGAAAGGAGTGGGTGCAGGGCGGTGATGGGGTTACTAGGGATGTCGATATGGGTGATGGAGAAGTGTGCGAGGAGGATGAGGAGGTGGCGAGGAAGAGAGCAAAGCAGATGGAGGACAAGGGGGACTCTGGAGCAGAGGGAGTCGTAGGGAGGACGGTTGAAGATGGCATGGTGGGTGCAGAAGGGGTTGGGGCTAAAAACACATGCCATCCCATTCCTGTTGCCACATGTGCAAGAGCAATTGGTGGTATGTACACCTCTGCTGCTGCTGCTTCTGCTGCCGTTGCTGCTGGTAGCAATGCCGCCGTTCCTGCCACTGCTGGTTCCACAGGTGCTACAGCGGCAACGAGGCCGGCAGGCACGGCGGAAGGGGGTCACGATGGGGGACTGGTGACAGGGGCGGTAGGTGGGAGGGATGGTGAGCATGGGAGGGGGGAGCTGATGGGCAGTGGAAGGGCGAGAGCTGGATCTGATGGGATCGGGAGGGGCTTTCTTGGGCAGCCTAGGGCGGTAGATGGGAGGGATGGAGAGCATGGGGGGGGTGAACCGATGGCTGGAGGCGAGGGAGCTGAGAGAGGGAGAGGAACGAGGGGATGTGGAGAGCGAGAGCAGAGGGATGGAGCAGAGCGGCATGACACGGTGGTGGGGAATTCTGGGAGGAGAGAAGTGGAAGGAGTGAGGGGTGGAAGGACGAGAGCTGGATCTGATGGGTCTGAGAGGGCTTTTCTTGGGCAGACTGGGGCTGATCGGCGGACTGATGGTGGCGCTGCTGGTGGTGTTGATGGGGCGAATGCGGGTGGTCAGGGGCATGGGAATGGGGATGGGCATGGGAATGGGGATGGGCATGGGCATGGGTATGGGCATGGGCATGGGGAGGGGCATGGGGATGCGAAGCATCTCGATGGCACTGGCAGAGAGGATGCTGATGGTTATGGTGGGCGCATGGAGGGGGCTGGTGACCATCAAGTTCCTGATACTGCTGGTCATGATGCTGATCAAGTTGCTGGTAACCACAATGGCAACCGTGATGGCAACCACGCTGCTCCCAACGTGGCTGAATACGCAGCAGAATGTGATGGTTCCAAGGCTGTTGAAGGACCCGGCAGGGAGGAAGACGGCGACCTGGCGTCTGCCATTGAAACCCTAATCAGCTCCACCAGTGGCAAGCACGAAGGGGCATTTTCCACTCCAAACCCTGGAAATGGGAGGAGTATTCACAGCAGCAGCCAGGGGAGTCACAGGGGTGTCCTGGGAACAGTGTCCGGGGATGCAGGTAAGGGAACTGCTCGGAAGGTTCCGCTTTCTCAGATTAAGGGGCAGGCTTTGGTGCTGTCGCATCAGGGTGGGGGACGGAGTGGGTTGGGCATGGGGATGGGGATGGGGATGGGGATGGGGATGGGGATGGGGATGGGGTTTGGAGCTGGTTTGGGCATGGGGATCGCAGGTAAGGTACATAATGGCAGCAGTCACCGGTATGAGAGGCAGACTGGGGCTGCCACTGAGCATGGATGGCGCACGGCCCACAGGCTGCAAGGGGCAGGAGCAGACCACGAGCGAATGGTACTACAAGATGGCATTTCAAACCGCGATGTTAGTGGCGTGGGGAGCAGTGAGGGAGGGGAGAGGGAGAATGTGGGGATGGATCTCCTGCTGATGACCCAGCCGGCCTCCGAGGTGGTTTCGTACTCCAGTCGTGATGGCCACAGGGATGCCGTGATAGCGCAGGTGGAGGAGCATGTGAAGAGGATAAAATGCAGCGGAGGGAATGGTTTCTGTGGGACTGGTTTTGGGGAGGAAGGGGCGGCAGGGACAGGAGGAGGGAGGGCGTGGAGGGATGCGGCTGGAGTTATGCCGTACCTCCAGGGGTTGTTGCGAGCAGCTGATGCCAATGCGGAGATTGTTGTAGAGTCGCCAAACGATTGATTGATCTTGTGCCGAGATGACACTGCTCGAGTTGATTGGTTGATTCATGGGCAGACGCCATAGTTTCAGGATTTTGAAGGCTGAGCCATTGTTCCACAGGTGATTCTATCTGCATTTGTTGTGCCTCGGGGTTGAGCCATAAAACCCACACGAGGTGGCTTGGGCTCTCAGAGTAGCAAAGTGAACTAAGCAAGGGCATACATGGTGTTATCTGAATTGTGGGTTGTACTCCCTAAGAGCACGTACCTGTCTAGCCTATAACTAGACATACATTCCAAATGTATAAGTTGACACACCCCCTAGGCTGGACAGTGTCTAGAAAGAGACACGCAGCTCAGGGTGGCACTACTAGTCCAACCTCTAAAGCAAGGGTCCGCAGACCAGTCAGCAAGAGTACAAGCTAAACAAGAGTAACCCAAGGTGGCACTACTAGTCCAGCCACTGGAACAAGAGCCACAAGGCCAGTCAAGATAGTATAAGGAGTACGGTAGTACACAATCAGGGTCCTAGCAAGGGAGGAGCTACTGGAACTAGACCCAGCTGTACACTGTGCCGATGATGGTCTTTAGGCGCAAGCGCCTTAGTAAAGATATCATTTGTGTCGGCACCAGAGGCCAAGTGTACTACGCGGGCTTAGCGGTGCTGCTGTAGCTCGCGCAGAAGGAAGTACCGTAGCTGGATGTGCTTCGCTCTGCCCTCTAGTCGAGGCTCCTGACACAGGATGATCATGGCCCTATTGTCAGCGTACACGACCGAGGCAGAGCTAGTCCGCTCTGTTAAGAAAGCTAGGCTAGTAGGAACAGTAGGAAGCAGGGCCTCAGAAGTCAGGTCAAAAAGGCCTGAAAGCCTGTATATCAGGGTGTTTTCTAGGGCATACCCTGATTTTTCAGGTTTTGATTTTTATCAA